TTCACCAGCATCTTTTGTGGTGGTGGTGAGAAGGTCTCTAGGGTGGAGGAATTGATTCAGCTACATCCGAATAGTTGAGACTTGGAAGGGTCAGAGCATCCTCCATGGAGCAAAAGTATTAGCATCACTTGGGAGAGCTTTAATGCTCAGGGGTGACCCAGACATGCTCAGTCATTGTAAGAAGGACCTCAGGTGATTGATTTGTGTGCATGGGGAATCTGAGGTGCACTGAGTTAGGAAGGATGGGGTGGCTCTTACACCCTTCATGTCTGATCCCACAGGGAGGATGACCTGAGATTCTTCTGTCATCCCACAGGCTCATAAGCCATTTCACCATCTTTTTGGAAAAGATGATAGAAATTTAAAATACGCATATATTTCAATAATTTGAGAAATACTATCCTTGGGAGCCAGGGCTTTTCACAACGTTTTAAATTCATGGATTGTTAATGGGTTCAGGGAGGCGCGCACACAGCAGACAGAAGATGTTTTCAGCCAATTATACCTGTGCTATTTTATTTCTTAAGCTAGGCGATGGGAAGCCAAGTGTTCATCAGAGGATAATTTGCCATTTTTTGTTGTAATATTTTGTAATTCAAATTTCTAAAATCATCAACAATAATCTACAAGATCTACAAAATGAAAAACGGCAATAAAATCATCCTATATCAGGACTCTTTTTTTTTTTTTTGCAGTTTTTGGCCTGGGCTGGGTTTGAACCCACCACCTCTGGCACATGGGACTGGTGCCCTACCCTTTTGAGCCACAGGCACTGCCCATGTTGAGGGTGGGAGCAGAACCTAACTAGTGGTGACCGCTTTCAATGTAAATGCTAATAGTTTATATTTGAGTGCTCAACAAATGCTGTTGTCAGGGTACTTGCTATATGCTAAATGCTCTTTTAAGTGCTTTATATATAACACATTAAATTCTCAGTTACTCTTGGAGGGGAGAATTTTTGTCCCCGTTTCACAGGGGTATTTTCGTACGTGAAAAAACTAAGGCGTGAAGATGTTTGGGCCAAGGCTGCAGAGATAGTTGAGGCACTAGGATTTGAACTCAGTTCACAGAAATGCCAGGTATAAGCTCTCTAACACCTACTAGAGCATTGCATGCAACCTTTGCATGCAAATAAAATTGATAGAATAGGATGAGGAAAAATAATGTACCTCCCCCCGCCCCCCTCCCCCCCCCCCCCCCCCCCCCCCCCCCCCGCCAGGTCTAAGTAAAGCAAATGCAACATAGTTTTGGCCTTTAAGGGACCGTTTTTTGTTCTTTTTGTTACCTGTTCTCTGCATTTCTGAACTTACGTGGCATATTAGAATGCAATTTGGAAGAAGAAATCAATGCAACTGAGAAAATGCTCCCATTTAACCTTAACAATGGGAAGATCCAATTAAAAAAGTTATGTAAGGCTTCTCTTGAAAAACAAACCAAAAACACTCCACAGAAGCTCCCCTTTTTGTGTGACTGAACTCACACCCCTTCTTCAAGATTCAGCTGTCTTGCTGTTGTGAATCCTTTTACTATTTCCCGAGCTGGGGAGTTCTGGCCCTCATCCCCTCTACTTGTGATGACAGCAGTTGACCTTCATTGAGCCTAACTCTATCAAAGATGCTGTAAGGAAGCCATTCACTTACTTTGTCACCTTATAGCAACTCTGTGAGACCCTCTCACTATCCTTACTTTACAGAGGAAGAAAATAATGTGTTTTGAGGTTAAGTCAGTCCTCTGATACGATGCAGTTCTTAAGTGGCAGAGCCAGAATTCTGCTTCTGATCCAAGAGCTGGGTGGTTGTAACTGCAGAGCCATCTGCCTGCCTTGTCTTGCTGACTCAATGGTCTTTTCCTCTCTTCTCTTTCTAACTCATTCACTTAAAGCCTTGAAGGTGTTACTTTAGTGCTGGGACATACGGGAGAGCAAGCACATTCCCTGCCCCTTGGGTGCTGCCGGTGTAGGCAAAGGATGGTAATATCTTCCAACAAGTGAGAACGATATCAAGAAATACACAGACAGGAGAAAGCACAGTTCCTCCCGGGACTGCCTGCGGGCTAGAGCATAGAGGTCGCTGCACAGGGAGAAAGTTCAATCTTGAGAGAGCTGAATCACCTGCAGACCAGAAAACTTCCAACTTCCTAAAGGAGTTTTAATGGGAGCCACTGGATGGTTTTAAACTTGGAAAACATAGACTTAAATCATCTTCATGTCCATACTGACAATTAGTGACTCCAAAGAAACTCAAGTGTTTAAAGAATAACAATGAAAGACATGGGGGGGAAGCCAATAAAACGTAACACTTTATTATTTTTTATCTTAGAAGGAATTCACCAAAGGCTTCATATTATGCTACGGCATCTTTAATTATAAAAATAAGCAAATAAAATAACTTGCATCTGTCATTACCATGATATGTTTCATACCCTTTATAAGCACATGGAGCTTAAAAATGTAATTTAACAATAAATAATGACATATACCAGATATGCTCACTGTTTATTCCAGTACTCAGCCAAAAACCTAAATATCATTTAAATTATAAATACATAATGCAAATATAATGGCACAAACATGTCTAAAGTGCAACCAAATCACAAGAGAAGAATCATGCAAACTGGTCTAGGTCAGCCCCCGAATCACTCTGTTCAGCAAACATGAGATGAAGCTTTGGAAGTTTAAGGGGGGTGGGGAGGGCAGGGGACAGAGAAGCAAAAAACTAGCAACACTGTGAGAACTGCTTCTTTCCATATGTGTAGATATATGTATTGTAGATACATATATGAATATCATCCTGGGGAGAAAAGGTGGGTACCACGGTTTGAAGAGATCACAGCAAAATAAAGTCTACTAGACTGAAAGAAGAGAGAATTTTGCTAGGAATACTCATGAACTACTCATTGCGTGGAGGGAGGCGGTCCTGGCTTAGTGGGTTTACGAAATGGACACAACATACAAACTTTAATAGCTTTTCTGGTTCAGAGAAATCAGCCTTGCCTGGGGGTGGGACGTATGGGAGAGGGAAGGGGGAGAGTCTAACTTAGAATATGGCCTACCTGATTTCCAAGAGGCTAAGGCAGTGTCCATATGTTTGGGGACCTGGGGATGGGACAGTTCTGAGTATAAAAATGCCCTTAACAATCTGATGTCAGCACGCTTGGAGGCTGTGTGGGAATAAAGGCAGCAACGTTTGTGCTGCTGCTGCTGCGGGGTCTGTTGTGATAGCTCTTGGTCCTTGAGCAGCACGTTACTGGTTTTAAAGGCTTTATGGTAAAGTTGTATTGCTTTTTACTTTTCTGGAGATGTGCCCTCCCTCCTCCCACCAGGATCCCTATCACTCAATTTTGGTCAAATCTTGAGTTTAGCCTAGTGAGAGTCAAGCACCATTAGTTTCTACCTAAGCGGGTTTGGAGTGGCCCCTGCAGTTCTACCCCTCCTCACTCTTCCTCTCTCAACATTGACCTTTGGTGGGCAGTGACGCTCATAGGGGACTGTTGGGTTCAAGGACGGTGACCCTGAGAAACTACTGTTGTTCATAGATAGGTTAATCATTCAGCTTTGGTGGTTGCCATCTTGTAAACATCACGGCAGAAATGATCAAACCACCTGCTCTTTCCCCCTCTTTCTTTTTTTTTTTTTCTTTTTTCTTTTTTTTTGTCTTTTTAATGATCCTACAGAGATGGTCCAGCTGCCAGGACTACTTTGGCAGGCAGCATGCTACAGGACAAAAATGTCAGAGGAGTCTATTAAGGCTGGACAGCCCAGGGTTATCTATATTCCCTCAGCCCCAAGTCCCCCGGACTAAAGACCAAAGGCTGATCGACTTGTTCCTGATTGATTTAATGGAAAGTCTCCCACCTCACCATCTGCCAGAGTACCAGGCACTGATGAGAGGTGGCGAGTTGAGAACTGCCACTTCCCAAGGTATAGTCAGCCTCTTCATCCTTTGAATGGTCCAAGCCCAAAGGGATGTTCTTTTTTGGTTCCAGTAATTCCCAGTAGGACATGACAGAGCTCTTTCAGGATTAGGTCTAAGTCAAGAGTAGCCTCTGGGTTGAGGTGGGCTGGGAGATTAACATCTTGCCTGGGGTCCTTCAGATAAACCTGTTGGTTCTCCTATCTCATACAGGCCCATCTTTAAGTTTTGATGTTGAGTTAAAACTACTTCTACCCCCTTAGTTATAAAAAAGGCCACAAGGAGCATTTATGTGGATATCTGGAAGTGAGATAGTTAATTCCATTCCCAGGAAAAGAAAAATAAAGCTAAGTTACAAAACTAAATCTATATGCAATAAAGTTATTATATACTGCTTTGTCCAAGCAGAGTCCTCTGGAATTTTATGTACAGTACATTAGTTTTCAGCTATTTATATTCCACAGTTAGACCTTAAGATTCTCTGGTTTTAAGACAATTGTTAAAGATACTTTTAAAGCTCTGAGCAGTTACAGTACATAAAGATGTTAGCTTTTTGTTTTTCATTAGATGCAAGAAGATGCAGGCTCCAAGTCTGGTTGGAGAGCCAGGCTCGAGCAATTTGGTAAATGTGTTGGAAAGGAAATTAGGTATTGGAGGATCAGGACCTTAAGACACTAGCTCATTAGAGATCAAGAATTCAAACATGACATTCATATTCATCCATGGCCAGCATAGATTCATAACACGAATTCCATTTAACATCTTTATGAGCATTTAAGACATGCATTTAAATAAAGTTTCTCATTGGCTAACTCTATTGGGGCAACCATTCTAAAGGGCTCCACATCTTCAGCTTACAGTGACTGGGGAAGTTACATAAATGTTTTGTGTTTGAGGGTCGTTTGAAGGGAGCTGGGAAGAGGAGAGGCAGAATGATCACGTGTGTTCTGTTGGTGGAAATGCTGCCATTGCAGAATGTTGGGATATTGATTACAGAACCCTAGTTTCATGCAATTTTCTTTAAGGGGGGTAGAAAATAGGAATTACTTAAAAAAAAAAAAATCAAACCAGGCACAGAACACTCAATGTTGGTGCGTGAACACCACTAAAATGATAACTAGTTTGGTGAGGTGGTGAATACCTCCCCCTGGTTATGTGCTCTCCTGGGACGTGCTTTTGGTGTGGGAGGGAGAGTCCCCCTCACCTCGGAGGTTCCTGAGGAGGACTTTCAGCTTCTGTGGCTCGCTGGTGCGTCTCCTGTTGAAGTCAGCTCGCGCGTGCGTTTGGGCACAGTGGTCCGTCTGCAGGATGTGGAACAGGCTGGCCATGTTGGGCCCGATTTTCTCCATGAGGCTGTCCCTAATTGTGCTGACTGTGTCTTCGTCACATTCCAGCAGGCTCCGGACGAGTCTGTTATAGTATCTGCATTGGGAAAGAGAGCACAGGTGATGGTTACTCAGTGAGAGCAGGGCCAGACCATGCAAATGTAACTAGCTCATCATGATGCTGCAAGTGGCTTCTGCTGCACAGCCCTGTGCAGTGTCCCTCAGCCTGAGTGCATGTGCCCCCTGGTTTACTGCACAGTGCTAGACAAGTCTGTCTTGGTGTTTAGAGTTCAGGAGATTTAGATCACACACTGAAGAATAGGCTAACAGCGGTGACTAAATGTTTTAGGATCAGAATCATAGCAGTAGCAGGGATCACAGAAACCAGTTAGTGACTCGTTCAACTCTCCTTTTGGGGAGAAGAAACTAAGGTGGAAGAGCTGAAGAGGATGTGAGCCCAACACACAATACGGGTATCAGTAGCCATTGTATATGCACAGTTATTTTGCTGCTTTTTGCAATTTTCTTTTTTCTTGGTGGTGTGGGCCGAGGTGTGCATCTTCTGACAACTTCCATCTCTTTCTCTTCTGCATCTCATGCATTTTTCTACAAAATCTAACTCCCTTACTGGCTGGTCTTGATAAAGGCTATTGACTGCCTCTCACCTCTAGTTTCCCCCCAAGGATATATTATAGTCAGAAATCAAATGCCAGGTAATGGGAATATTGAACTGGAAAGATTAGTGGTCCCCTAAGGGTTCATGCGTCTATAGTTCCACCAAGCCTTCTCTCTCTGTTCTAGGTTCTGCTGGCCTCTTCCCATTTTGGATGTCTTATGGATGCTTGGTTACCATCACACAGGCCAGCCCTTGATGGTTTTGAGATAGTTTTGTTTCCCTGACTAGATGGTGAAGTTACTGGAGGGAGGATCTATGTCCTTACTCTTTACATCTACCCTGGCCCAGTGTCATCATGCTATATTGCCTGCTCCTTGCACGTTTGTTGATGTATTTTGTGGCCACTTTAGCAATGGCATTTTAAAAGTAGGCTTCTCTCTTCTGTAACTTCTGATTCCCCAAAGAAAAATAACCTATAGGCCTAGTGAATTTTACAAAAAAAATTCTTGTGTGTGGTAGAAATTACCTTCATCTTTGGGGCAAATTCCTTCAACATCCTAATCAATGCCACTAAGCCTCACGGTTCAAAGAAGATTAAACTGTCTCATATTTATAGCATAGAAATTACTTGTCCTGTTCTTTGGGAAGACAGTTCAGGTATTTTCCAATTTAGGCTGGGATGCATCTGCTCCATTTTGAGGTGGCAGTTGTCAAAACCCATTAGCTCTGTATTCACTAATAAGAGACTCTCAGAGGAGCCCGAGGATCTCTGGGGCCACAGGATCTTCCATGAAAAGAAACCTGTTTATTTTTAACTCACACAGAGCACAGGATCAAACATTTTTCCAGAATAACTTAACCCCCCAGAGAGGTCCTTTCAAGGATGTACAGTAAATCGGGTGGAACGTGGGTAATGAGGCAAAGCGGTCACCCTTCTGTGGGTGAGCAGAATGAAGGTGGGGACTGAAAGACAAGTGCAGTGTCAGGGTCACTGACACCGGCCGGGTGATACCCCTTCCTCCAGGGAGAATTAGAGCTAACTATGGTTAAAATTGCACTTCTCTGGCACAAAGGACATTTCTAGTCCTTTGGGACTAAAAAGCACATGAATCAAAGTAGATCTCACTTGGAAGGTAAAATGGGGAGGAAATTGGTTTTGGCAAAATAGAGAATGGATGACTTTGTACCAACAGCTTCAGACATGGACATACCCACATAGTTCTCCAGGTATCTCCTAACTCTTAGGCTCTGCTGGGACCTACCCTTGATTGCTGTATCTATTTCAAAGGATGATTAGATCCCAGAGTTTAAATTTATGATCGCCTACCATTCCAATAAAGATTTTATGATGTAGAAAGTTAACCTGTCCACTTTTAGAAGAAGCTGTTCATGCCAGACAAACCCCCAAGTGGACTGGAAAATATGATCTTTCCTTAGAAACACAAAGAATGTAAAGTTCTTCCATAGAAGGACCTGAAAGCTCTTGTCTGGATGAAGAAGTCTGGTGCTCTCAGGGAAGCTTCTGTAGCCAGCCTTGCATTTGTAGAGCCACATGTTTCCTTCAGGCCCTACTTAGTCAAAGTACCTGTTCTCTTTATCTTCTGAGGACTTGTACCTCTCAGTATTGCCACTTTCTCTTTCAGCCCCAGTATGACACCCGATCTTGGTATTTCTTGACGATGACCCTTGTCAGCCTGACTGCTCTTAGAGACCCCTACCCCCACCAATCTACCCTGACTTTTCCCTTCTTGACTTTTGTTAACAAGGGAAGACTAAGGGAGCTCTTTAGGATATAAAGTCTCAAAGGCTGGAAAATTTGTCATGCTTCCTTCAACATAGTGACTTCTATATAGTTTGTCAGCATGAGCAGTAGGTGAGCCCTGTGCCTCTCTGTCAAAGGCCTGGACTGTGGCGTTGACCTGTGGGATTGGGCTGGTCAATGAGATCTTTCCTGCAATTCACTAAAGTCAGATTCTTTAAGAGGTGATGTCTCCAGCGAAAGTTGACTTAGCAATGGCCACATATTTATCCAGCACCTTCTTGTTCCGAGTCTTATTACTGTAGTTATTGGCAAGAGGTGCCCTTACTTTTAGGAAAGAGAAGGCATACAAATTGAATTCCTGACCACCCTGGTGCACATATATTCAATTGTGCTTGGTATTCTATTTTTGGATTGTGGATATTTCCTGCAGGTTTTGCTGGCTGCCATATTTGAAGTAGAAATCAAATAGCTTGGCTCAAGGCCATGTGAATTCTAGGCCCAACTTAGTTATTCCCAAGCTGTGTGACCTTTACTAGGTCACCCCTCTCCCCAAGCCTCTGTTCATTAATCAGTAAAATGAGGCTGTTAGTCTAGATAACCTCTGCAGTTGTCTTCTGCTATGACATTCTGTTTCTAGGAATTTAATACATATTTTTTCTCAATCTAACAAAAAAGTAGTGCAGCTCTACTTATGGACCCTTCTTTGCAAAGGAATTAGACCTACTCAAGAAGATTCCTTTATCTTTATAGAGGGTTGAAGGTATTGCAAAGTCTCAGTGGATGAAGAGTTCTGATAACCTAGCCTGGAAGGACCTTTTTAAGCGTGTTTCTTTTTTCCCCACTTTGAAAATTCCATCCCTGACCTTTTTTTTTTTTTTTTTTTTTTTTGTGGTAAAGAATAAGATCAGATATTCTCCATAGCTACTGTTTCAGCCATGCTTACCCAAATACACACATACTGCCTAGGAACATTCTGTGTGAAGGTTTATAAATAGTCCTTTGTTTCCCTTGATCAATATTATTCTTCTGTTTCCTGTTCCCTATCCATGCCCTAGAGAGTTGTTGGAAGCTTTGTCAGTTTTTCCCACTCTGGAACTGGATTGGTCTCATTGGCTCCCAAGCTTTCCATTGCCTGCATGCCTCATCAATTTCGTCTGCTTTCCTCATGGTTAAAAGCACAGTGTGCAAATTTGGGCAGGGGGACATTCCAGCTACCTTTCTCTTCCCGGTGCATGTTGTCATACATAGAAAACCCTCTCAATTCAGCTCCTGGTCCAGTCACAGGCTTTTGGATTCTCCCAGCCCTGAATCTCATGCTAGATAAGTCACAGGAAGGTGGAATGAACCTGTAACTACTTCCTTTTGCAATTCTGTGCCAATTGGCACCACCTTCGCGTGTGTCTGTGGTGGGGCAGAGGCTGGGAAAGCAGGATGTTTCAGGAGGACGAGGAGCTTAAATAGAGCAAAGCAAGCCCAGCATGGAACCGGAAATCTCTACAGTCCTGAACAGGAATAATATTAGCCCACTGAAGCAAAATTCTTGGAGAAAGGTTGGATGGAAGATTCTGGTCTTCCAGGGCTGGCCATTCCCCACTGAGATGAAAGAAGGAGAAGGTCACATTCTTTGTGACCAATTTTCTAAAGGTTTTTAAATATAAAACACCCATTAAAAGGAATAATGGTCGGGATCTCCAGTCCTAGTGTCTGTTTCTTTCTATACGACCTCTCCTTTCAAAATGGAAGATGCTACTTCTGTTGAAATAGGGAGATGAATATTGCCTTAAGATCGGTTACGTGCCATAGTGTAGATCATGATTTGTCACAGGGGCCCTGAACAATTTGATCTAAACCTGTAGTCATGGCTTTGCTAACACACCCCTGCCTCACCTCTGCCAACTGCACGACTACATGCTTTGTCTCGAGCCTTGTCTAAGAATTCATTTCTTTTCCTCATGGTTGAAGGGAATCTCCAACGATTAGGTGTGCCTGCCCCATGCCCCATTCCTTCCAGGCAATAGAATATCCCTAGGAGAATTTTAAAACTAAAGTTGATTAAAAAGAGGCCACTGGAGAGAAGTGGTGCATTTGACTGTCCTGTTCTGAGAAAATCAGAACCCCATCAAATAGTCACTTCCAAGGACCAGAGAAATGAATTTTATAAATTGACTTGAGGTTCTGGATGGCACTACCTGGAGTTAAGATTGAATCGGCAATTTCCCAAAATGTTTATGTTAGGCACCTTAAGCTTTTTCTAAGGAGGAAAAGCTTTTTCTATTGCGTATATATGACAAAATCACTTCTAAGCCCCAGAAAACTTGCCACTCTCTGAAGAAGGGTGGCGGTACCTGGGTAGGAAGTTAATCTGATAAGTCTGCCCTCTCAGGTGGTCAGAGTAACATGCATAGGACTGACCACCGTGAATGTGTCTAGATTTGGCAAGAGAGTCAAAGAAGAGTAGACCTTCAGGACTGGGAGCCCAGTTTTAGGGTGAGAGGCATCATAGTAGGCTAAACTTGACTGGTCTGCACTACTCCTGCCAAAAACTCCATGCCAGCCCCATCTGCAGTGCTGTCTTTGCAGGAACCTTTCCAGGCCATGCCCTTGGAATGAGGATGCCAGCCCTCTCATGTATGAGGAGCTGAGTCCTGGCCGAGGATGGCAGTAAGCCGGGGCTCAGAAAGACATGATGCTTGGGTATTACTCAGTGGCTTTGGGTAGTGTTCGAACACTAAGATGAGAATGTGATCTGGACACCTGCTGGAACTTCACCCTAGGAAATCTGGAACTAATGCAGTGAGATTACATAAGGCCTGGAAAGGAACGTGAGCATGGCCCAGTCCAGCCATTTCCCTTTTCACAAAGAAAATCTGAATCTAAGAGAAGTGAGGTGGCTTGTTCAGGGCTACTCAGTGAAATCTCTTATTGAGCTTAGGACTGATTCAAAATACATGCGGATTTAAAAGTCTGCATTTTGACATTTGACCAAAGTTTTTAATTGCAGCCTATTTTACTGCTGTACAGTTGTGGTTTCAGCCAAATTTGATGTCTAAAAGCTTGTTTCCAGAAACTTCACCATTCCCTTCAGGCTTATGGCAAGAAACAGACGATAAAAATGCACCCAGGCTTGCTGCAGAGATGAAGCTGTCTCTGAGCAGCCAGGGAAGACTTTTCCTATAAACAGTGGTGGGGGGGAGGGGAGGAGAAAAACCCCCAAGCTGCTTAAACTGTCACAACCAATCACAAACATTTTTTCCTGCAAAAGCTGGGAAGGCTGCAAGCTAAAATAAGAGCGTGACTGTGGCGGTTTAAACCTCCCTCCCAGTCTGGCTCTGCCAGCCAATCACCCCCCTCCCCCTCCGCTGAGGATGAAAACATGGTCTCAGCTCATACCTGTTGGAGAAGTGATTGGGCAGCTGGACGACCTCCGTGATGGCTTCGGGGTTGCGCTTGGCGATGCCACACACATTCAGCTTGCTGTAGCACTCTTCCTGCACCTCAGCAATCATCCTCTGGAACGTGGAGCACCTCCGAATGGCGAGGAAGACCTTGGAAGTGACCCCGTTGGCGATGCACTTTAAGCTCTCTTTGACAAATGCTTTTCCCTGCCAAGGAGGGGAGGATCGAAGGAAGGCGTTAGCTTGACTTGACAAAAAAAAGATGGGGCATACAACATGGGGAGCTCAAGGGGGGTCGCCTTGGCACCATATCATGGCCATCTGCATGTCCTTGCGATGGGAAGATTGTATGCTGTGGCCAGGGATTAAAAAGAATGCCCCGCCTCCCTTAGACTCCCTTGAGAATTGAGCTCCACCGAAAGGAAATGAGATTAGAGGAAAAAAGAGATGGACCATAATCAACCACCCTGCTGCTTGAAAATAGTCATAATCTGGTTTTATGTTCTGGAGGGTGAGACTTTGAGAATTCAGATCACGAGGGGGTGTGCTAGGTCACACGGAGGAAAGAACTTCTTTGTTAGAAGCACATTTTTATTTCCTCTGGAAGAAAAGCTTTTTGGATCTTACTCCCTCCCCATATAAGAGCCCCCATCAGATCAGCTCTTTTTGATCGGCATGAGTTGGGCAGGGAGAGTCTCACACAGGACTAGTTCCTGGCCACGTGTGCGTGTTACACATGTCGAGATGGGAATTTACAGTGGGGAGGCTGAGAGGCAGGGCTGGTTCCCTACAAGACTAGTTCCTAAGAACAATGGTCTGACACTGTTAAAGAGAGGCAGCCAGTGTGAGCAGGGGTCAAATTCTTATTACCTGAGTGTCAAATTTAGCAGCGCTGTACAAGAAGGATTTACAGATGTCGTACATCCCATCTGTGTCACAGGTGGAGTTTTCCAGGCATGCAAAAGCCCCACAGCCAACCTGCAGGGCACTGTTGAGGCAGCGGACCACTTCAGCTGGAAGAGAAAGAGCCATCCAATCCAGGTCACACAGGATTGGCCTGTGGACGGCCGGGTTGGGAGATCAAGTGGGTGCAGAGGTCAGTTTCAAAAAAAAACGAGGGGTCAGAAGAACACATCCTAGGAGTCTGTCACAAGAGACAATAGATGGACCCATTCAAATGAGAGAGAGGGGGTACACCACGCCCCTTGGCTTACAGGAGCCAGAGCACAGGACAGACTGGGAAGGAGTTCTCCCTCTGAGACACATTCTCTCAGCGGTCTCAGGACATAAGATTTTGGTGGCTGGAGAGGAGCAGTTGGAGTCTGTGAAATGCAGAGTGCCTTTAAGCAGCTCTATGGAATCAAAGGTCGCTGCTTGGCACTTGAAAGCATGGGAAGGCAGAAGGCAGTGGCCAGCGGTCAGGTTTAAGAGGTTGGGAGGGCCAGGGAATCCATCTAGCTTCCAAAAGATGTGTGCCTGGGAAAAGCACATGGGAGTTTAGTCTAAATGGCAGAGAATAATGTGCCACTTGGAGACCCTTCTGATTTGGGGGCTTTAACCTTCTTATTGGCTGAAGGGAATCTGACCCATTCATGTTTCACCCCAGCCCTCCACTACAGATCAGTGCAGAGAGGCATGCATAGTCTCTTTCACATTAAAAGCCTTAAAAAGAAAAGAGAAACTCAGGTGTGGAATAATAAGGCAAAGTCATCCCTTGTGCAAGACTGGAAGAAAACCACAAAAACTTGCACGAGGCTTTCTACGTTGTGGATAAGATCTCCCATAAAAGTAATTTCTCTCCCACAGAAGGGGGGGGGGGAGTGTTCTGGCAGGCAGCTCGGCAAGAAATGATCTGCAGCCTTCAAGCCATGGGGTTCTCCCCTGAGATCAAAAGCGTGGTTCAGTTAGGCTTCCCCACCCCCTCCCACCACCCGCAACCTCTGGGATGTTACAAGTCATTTCCCTAATTATATATTTCCACGGGTTCAAATTATAACTTTGCTTTAAGCAGTTTTAATATGCATTAGGGCTGCTATTGTTTTAGGCAAGCTCGATTTGTGAATCACTGCATCTCTATAGCAACTAAGTACAAAAGGAAGTGAAGCAAAAGCCCTCCTCTCAGCGGGGACCTGCGCTCTTCCAAGGGGAGCATCTCTGCAGTATTCTGACACCTGGGATCCCATCTTTGCTGACAGTTGGAGGACAGAGGGAGTGGTGGAAGGAGGAGAGCAAGTGAAGCCGGAAAAGTCGGGAGGCAGATGTGTCAATGCGGCTTCCCAATGCCTCCTCTCCCTCACAGGCCGAGATCGTGCACAATTAACTGCTCCCAGAGTCAGCACCAAAGTGAGCCCTTCCTCATGGAGAAACAGCTGCTAGGTTTCAGGAATATCCCTTTTTCAAGGGGCTTGTTGGCCAAGGGGCTGTATGGATGACTGAATGGAGCCCAGGAGCTGGGAGGGAGCGAGGCGGCAGTGTTGGGGGTGGGATGTGTGTAGGGCTTTCTCTGACAAATCAAGCCTGGATTTGTCAGGCTTGAGGGCTATGGTTCCAAAAATCAGTCTGAAGAGGGAGCTTCGCTCTGTGCTCGCTGAAGAGGTAGGGAAGTCAAGTTATTAGGGTCTTAAGAGGCAAGGAAGAGAAACTGCATCAGACAAGCCAGGTCTCACCTCAGATCAGCTTCTGGAAAGTATAAGAGCGCTCTGAGGCATGCCAGTATTCAAGCCTTTCCCCGTCCCCCTCCCCCCCAAAAAGGGTACGTGCCAGATTTCAGGCAATCAGGCTAGGCTTATGCAATGAAATACCCTCAGCAGAGCGTCCAGCCTCTTCGTTAGTTGCATGCAATTCATTAAACAAAGGAGCTCCACGTCCTAAGGCTATTGGATTACACCGGCAGTTTATTGCCATGAGGCATGAAGCACATTTATTATCAAGATCATCCGTCACAGACACAGTTGCAAAAGCGAGAGGCAAATGAGGACAGCTCTTTGGGGGAGAAACCGGTCCTGGGTTTGCTGCTTACCTGAGTTCTGAGCTGCCACCCGGGATTTCCTGGGGCTCACAGAGTCATTCTGCTCCGCCTCATGGGTTGCAGAAACACTGATCACCAGCACCAGAAGCACTGCTGAGTTTTGGAGCATTCTCTGAGAAGTTTCCGCTAAGTTGCTAGGTTTTTTTTTTTTCCTCCCCCCCCCTTTCCTCTTTCCCTTTCCCGGCTTGAGTGAAGATGTGGATCTGGATACACAGAAAGCTTAGGTGAGGATTTGATGAGGATTTTTTTTTTTTCTGCTGCTGCCGCTCCTGCGGAGGACTCGTGTGCTACGACCGCCGCTGTTACTGCTGCTGCTGTTGCTGCAGTCGCTCCTTCTTGCACCTCTGCCTTTTGCAAACTGGGGGCCCAAGAGCTGCACCCAGGGATTTTATAGCCGTTCTTATCGGTCCTCAGAATCAGGGACCAATCAGGTCCCTCAACTGGTCTGGCTAGCCAATAGGAGAGCACGCAATTCAGCAGGAGGTTTTTGACTTCTTAGAAATATTTTCCAGCAAATTTAAAGTACCTGCTGCCAATGTTGTGTGTGTGTGTGCGCGCGCCCCCGTGTGTGTGCGCGCACGCGCAGCTATGTGTGAAAAAGCTATTTTCGTAGAAGTCAGAGATAACTTCGTATTGATTGAACTAAAGAAATAGCTTATGAAAATCTCTCCAAGGTGCTTTTTGAAATCTAGCTGTCTTTTATTCCTTTTTTTCCCCTCATGAGCCACTTGGGGGAAATGGATACATTGATAGGGTGGGGAGGTATGATCTCTTTGGATTAGAATTTAACCTTCTTAGAGCAGTTTCACTCTAATTTTAACAGCATATTTTCTGTTCTCTATGGTAAGCTACAGGTGAGTCTGCGATGCATTTTTGTTGTATGTGGACACACGTGAGCCTTTGGGGAAGAATTTGTGAGTAGATGGATTTTGGTGGACTGAGATATAATGGCTCTGAGCTGTGCGCTGCCGTTGCTGGTTTTTAGCCTGTGACCCTGGCCGACTCCTTTTACCTTGCTCTGCTTCTATTTTTGCAAATCTGTCAAATGCTGGACTCTGGCATTCCCTACACGTCGCAAATGATGTGGTTCTTCAGTAACATGAATGAATTGGGACTCCCTCTTTTCAGTTCTTAGCAGAATTGCAGACTCCAGGAGTGTTGGTCACCATAGGCACACTCATGCTCACCCACACCACATGTAACCGGGAGACATCATGAATGCCTGGAAATTAATAAACTGTGTATTCAAGCCCAGCAACTTCATAATCACGTTGAAACAATAAGCTGGCCAAAGCAAGACTAAGCCTGCTGGGCAAACCAGTTCATTTCTTGGGGGTAGGGTGGGAGAAGGTTTGGGGGGGTGGTTAGGGAAAGGCCAGAAAGTGTAGGAGAGAAGACTACAGATAAGCTCTAGACTTAATGGGAAAATTACAGTGGAATCACAAATCCTGCCCAGGACGGAAGCTCATATTTTCTTATACATGAGCTGTAGGCAACATTAAGGCTTGTCCCTAGCTTGTGAAGGGGATTAATGAACCGGGAGAAGTCAGAAAGCAGTCATTAAGGGCTGGAGCCAATGAAGAGCTTAAACAACAAAACCTTTAAAAATTTTCAGGGAGTAAATGAGAAAGAGCTATTGGTGATTCATACAGTCTTGGATAGGGGTGATCTCGTAAAGACACTGAGCCAGTGGCTTCAGTTTGACTCTTAAAACCTTAAAATCTTTTAACCTTAAAAGTTAAGGTGCTGACTCTGTTAAGCACAAACCAAACCAGGAATCAGCTGTGTGTGTGTTGGGGGTAGTGGGTTTGGTGGGTGTTTATAGCCTGAACCTTATAAAACTGAGCTGTTGGGTAAGCGTGAATGTTTCCTAGAGAAAGGGATAGAGAGAATAAAGGTTATAGGAAATACCTAAAAGAAAGGGGATCTTCAGATTTCCATTCAATATTAAGTACATTTATATTAACTGATAGTATCAGTATTTCTCAAGTACCTTCTAGGCTAAAGTGCTGGGGGCAAGTGGGCGATGGAAAAGGAGAGATGGACAAGCAGGTAAACACACGACTCTTGGTCTTCAAGTGTTTGCAGTTGAGTTGGGAAGATGGCAACCACCATCAGATTTGCTGTAGCTTCCAGATGTTGAGACCTTGAGTGCTAAGAAGTGGCAAAGGTTGCCCTGGCTAGAGATGTGGGGTGTTGAGCTTCCTGGAAGGATCTTCAAGGACTGATTGGTGGTGGTGGGGCAGATGCAAATGGCTGTTACTGCTTTTTATTTCGGGAAAAGCTGTGATATTTTATTTTTTAAATAAAGCTCATGTTGTAGAAAGCTCCAAGGTGGTTGTTAATTTGAGAGTAGTCCATGTACAGCAATGCAATACAGTCACTCACTGTTCTCTTCAAGAAGGGGCGTGAACAAGAAGACAGATGCCTATTCTCTTCCCAAGGGTCCTGACTTCTGTTCCTTAGCATTCTCTACCTCCTTGGCTATTTTTCGTTGTCAGAGGCAGTGCCATTTGTTTCCCTTGCCGGACTTCCCCCGAGTTGCTCCACTGACCTGGTGGGGTGGACCACAACTACCCACATTGCCTTTTAACAACTCTCTGATGCTCTGACCAGAACATGATGCCCTACAAGCATCCAGATGTGTTTGTGTGTGTGTGTTTTTTCCCCTGATGTTGATCTTTTGTTCCTCTGTCATTTGCTCCTTTACTGTCACATGCCTACTGGAGTTTCATTGCTAGGTGTGTCCTGGTGTTTTACAAGGGCAGGTGAACCTTCGTGCAAAGAAATATAACAGTGGTCAGCCACGTTGGTTTGAACGCAACTAGTGTGCACATCAGTACACTTGAGAATGGTTCAGGGAGAAAGCTGAAGACTATGTGGAAATGCCCAATGTAAAGTTTCTTCCCTGAGGTCACAGTTTGAGGATATCTGAATGTTTGCAGTCACTGTCTGGTTGTCTTAGATGCAGATCTAGCAGTGACCCAAGAGTCTTGGAAACTCTGGAGGTGATGTCTTGTTCCTTCGTAATTTCTCCAGGGGCTTTGAGATACTATGAAGAGGTCTGAGTATCAGATTTCAGACTCTAAATTTTATCCTGGAAGTAAAAGGAAGTCATTAGGGTCCTTTAATTCTTTAAGGAATTATTAAAGGATGTGTTGAAATTAGTGTTTGGGGAAGACCTTTTCACCTGATTATGGAGTGGAGGTAGAAAGGTGGTCAAAAGACTAGTAATATCAGTTTGTACTGAGGAGGTTCTGTAGCACAATGGTGGAGGTAGGAAAGGAAAGGGGAGAAATAGGAGAGAAGTTAAATAAAGTGGAAATTATCAATTAACCTAAGGATTGTCTTGGGGAAGACCTTTCTCTCAGTTTAATGAAAATGGAGGTAATATAGTCAGCCAGGACTTTTCCTTCTCCATTTTTTGGTTATAATTTTTAGTTGCAGGGCTACCTTATGAGGTATCTCCATTAGGCAGCTATTCTGGTGCTCTGTTAAGGCAATAGAATTACCTAACAAAAGGACTTGACTGTCCTTTAGGGAGGTGGCCCCAAGTGCAGTGGGTGGGAGGGAGGGTATCCTTTGCCAGTGCCCCGAGTAGGGAAAGTGCTGAGAAGTGGGTGGGAGAAGCTGCCAACACCTAAGGCTGGGTGATGATGCTCTGGCTGTGCCCGTGCAAGGCTGGCATGAGTTCAGTGAGAAGATGAAGCCAAGACTCTCTGGGGCTTTGTTGGATTTGGCTAGCAGAAAGCTCAGCAGTGAATGTTCTTTGCATTTTGGATGAGAGGAGCCCAAGAGCATATTTTCTTGATAAATGTTCATTTTGTTAACAGCGTGCAAGACCCACCAGGGTTGTTCTGACATAGTGACCAAGGCTGGACCGTTTTTCTTTGGGAATTCTGAGCCTGGGTTTTTTTCTGTTGGACCATTGGCTTGTCGAGTCAGGCCTTCTTAACCTCAAGGCAAAGGAAGAGGAAGAAGATAAGGGGGGAAGATGGAAACCCCCCTTCTCTCCATCCTTTTATAAAGACATCAGATTTTCTGCATGGATAATCCCAGATTAATCTGGGTTAATCTCTGCTAAAGAAAGAAAACGAGAAAATATATTGAGGGAAAAGCTTCCCTCCTGCCCCCACCGGTTGGTGGAGGGGCTACTGTGACTGGCACTAGTTCCGGAGCTGTGGGAAACACGGAGAGATGGCCGGCCTTTCCCTGCACTCCATGAATTCCCAAGCTAGTTCTTAAAGCGTGAATATTGTATTTGAGGAAGAATATCTCCTTTCTGGAAATAGAATACAGCAAGTGGATTGGAACAGGGTTCACAGGTTTGGATTCAATTAGCATTTACTGGGTGCCTATCCACGGCACGCCAGGCACTGCTATAGAGGTTTCTTATCTGTGAGCAAAGGACCGCTTCCCTCCCAGCCCGCAGGAGGAGCCTGGGACCCAAAGATAAGAATGGCTTACCATGGCCATAGAGAGTGTGATGGACAAATCTCTCCAGTCTTGCTTATTGCAAAAGGAGCCCTGCATTCTTCAGCTGTGTGCCCACCACAGTGGCATAGAGAGTGCACAGGCTTAGGGACCCTCCCCTCTGGGTGCAGGGAGGGTGGGGCACAGGAAAAAGAAATAGAGTGACCTAGCCTGCCACAAGCAGGGCAGGCAAGTTGAAATTAGCCTCCGCTCCTGTTAACATCTGCTTCGCATCTTCGCAGGTGTAAGTTCCGATGCCACTTTCAGGGAAGACAAATTCCTAGTCCTGGGGCAGCCTGCAAATCGACAGAGTCTCCTAGGAGGCTTCTGGACCAAGTATGAAGAGGATTTGTGTGTCATCCAATCTGTCCTTTACATTAGCTCTAGAGAGTCGCAGAATGATATTACTCTGTTGAGACACTTGAGGGCGCTCGAATCAACCATCATTGAGGACCTGTTTCCTTTAAATTGAAAAAAAAAAAGTTGTGAATCCCGGGCTGTGTTCTACCCGCCATTGTTTCATACTGTCAGGCTGCTGCTTAGGGGATAAGGTCACTTCGTGGTCTAGGGCAGTCACCTGAGACTTAGCCACTGAGCTTGCAGACTGGGATAGGATTTGCAGTGTGTACGCCTCTGTATTTTATACTCTTGTCGCTTGATAGGAAAGCAGCTTGCAGGCAAGTTAATACTCAGCCCTAGGGAAGGGTTATATCCGTACTCTCGTGCTCAGGTGGCTGAGAGGAGACATCAGATAACACACCTGTGGTACTTTGAGGCTCCTTGGTTTGAAAAAAAAAAAAAAAGGATTCTATTTCCTGGTGTTAATGAACCTTGCTCCTCATTACTCAAGAAAAAGAAATTTCATTTATTTTTCTACCTAAGATTGT